AAAGTCGAAAATTCCCCTTTACATTATAAACCTCAACTGCATTTTTATTGTGTGATCCATAGGCTCCCTATCATGTTGGTAGTAAATGAATCGCGATTTACAACCAACCAATCAACTCTTCATATGCAAACCAAGTTGGCCTCTACAAGGCATCATGACTACCCAATAGATAGGGATTCAACGAAATAGCTACTGTCAATTGTATGGTTACCGTGCAATCTAATCATTTCATTATCCGTTATCTTATCAAGGTTGAAGCACAGAAATAATGTAACTTCAAATGATCCTTGATATGTTGGTATTCAGTTATCGGACCAAGTACCAAATAAATTGGATTTGAGCACTAACTGAATTACAGGTGACCATAGATTTACAGTCATTGTCATTTAACCGAACTGTTCAGTGAGATAATTTTCCTATACCTAGAAGTGATAATCATTTATTGATCTATCATTACCATATGTTAGCTCGGATTGTGTGCTTGCTGATGGGAATATTGTTCTTCGTTATTAGCCTTTTATCTAGTGATCCTTTGTTTGAAAACTTAGACCAAGAGAAAAAAAATTCTCACATGGTAGATGTCTTTTCTAGTTCTTTTTAAAACAATTAAAAATTATTGATGTTAGTTTTTGGGCAAATGCCAACAAGTGATGGGACCCATCGGCAAGTTTGAGGTTTGTTTCATTTAAGGGGGATACATGATTATTTCGAAGACTAGACCTTTGATTTTGGGCATGCGGCAACCTTCTTCTCCACGTGATTTTATAAGATCCTATAAAGCTAATTAAGCTTTTGGAATTAAGAATTCTGAATCTTGAGGCCCTCTATATATCCAATTACGATATTGCAAACGAGAACTTGCCGATTATATAACTCCGTCACCTTTCATCTTAAGCCTGCACGATGTGCACATGACATTAATCACAACTAGAGCTACTAATTAATTGACCACTACCTGAATGCATGACGTTGTTTTGTGAATTTGATGAATCATCACAGGCGAAATGTGGCTGCCTTGTTGGCACCTTAAATGTATGTCTTTGTGGTCAACATAAATCTCATGAGCTCGATACGATCTTGTCGAAACGGCTGTTCATTATGGAAGGCTATTTTGGACTCGTACAACTCTTGGATATTTCCTTTACGTGTACTATCCCCACCGTAAGCTGGACTTCGCACAACAAACAAAAATGGAGGTGTTCCGTCCACATCACAAAAGGGATCACTGCGATGAAAAATATCCGGAAAGATCAATAAAGATTCAGCAATCTTTTTCACCTCTTTTTGGCAAGGTTTTAAATCCGGCCAAGGTGAACCTACAAAGTGGACCTTAGGTTAACGATTAAACCGATTTGACCAACGGGTCAAACTAATGTGTCAACATATAAAAAGGTTTGAAATTTTGCAAAAATACCCCTAAAATTTCTAAGTCCCTATAATTTGAAATCTTATAAAAACACCCCTACAACAGTTTGAGCTTTGATTTTTCTGACCAAATCCAGCCTCTCCGGCGACCAAAATTTAATCTGAAACCACCACCTAATCACCAGCCCCCACTCTAAAAAACCCCTTTAACCCCGACCTTGGTAGCCCTATGTTCGTCGATCGTGACTCGTTGATCTCGCCGCGATTGGGTTGATATTCCAGCCAAATTTCGGATGATTCTGGCATCCAAATTTAATCCAACACCACCTCTCGTGAACCCCCGCCTCCACTCTATAAAAGCCTCAACATAATTGTCGACGTATGCTCGCCGATCATCGTTCATAATTCTAGGGTTTAGAGTGAATAGTTTTAGTGATAACCCTGCTTGGCAAAGGCCTCATGTCCAGTTCGATCGTTTGAACCGATCGTCCGGCCAGTTTTAAAACTATGCTTTTTGGTGAAACACCCTCGATTAGGGATTACTTGTTATCAGCGTTTCATAATGCGACTGGTGTTGCCAGACTCTTTGTTCGAGATAGCACTTACAGTCGTCGTCTAACACTTGGCCAACCACTCTAAATTTTTTTTTTAAATTGAATTTAAAATAATTACTTTATTTTAAATTTTTATATATTTAATTTTTTTATATTACAATTTTATTAAATAATTAATTATATATTTATTCCAGTTTGCATCCCCACACGACAATATTATATTTAATTTACTCTAATTCTATCTGATTCACTTTTTAACGTACTAAAAATAATTCAGTCTAGTAAGTTGTGATAGTAAGGATGGGCGTTTGCCTCGGCCCTATGAGGAGCCGACCCAACCCGCTCGAATGGGGTGGGGAATCCCCTAAATCAAGGATAAGGTCGGACAGGCTAGGGGAGGGATTATGCGACCCTCGGCTCGGCCCAGCCCGACCCGCCTTGGCCCTTCAACCCCGCCCTGTGGAGCCCTGCCTTCTTTATTGAGAATTTCTTTTTTCTTTCGAATTTGTATAAGGTTATAGTTTAAATCATAGTTTTAAGTAATGTTATAAATTTATGATATTTACTTTTATAATACTTTCTAATGTTTGTATTAAATTTATAGAAAAAATAATTTAAACGAGGAGTCCTAGTTAAATATATGTATATTACTTTGTGCATTTCCACAAATATAATACATGGCCCAAAGATAATTTGATTAAATTATTACAATTTATCAAACCAATATGAATATACACAATTCTTAACAACTTACAAATTCACAAATTCATTATCCTTATAATTATTATGGGTCAATTAATATGATGTTAAACTTAATCAATGTTGGGAGCTTGGGATAATGTGATTTGTCCATTTCACAAATAAACTAATTTTATTAGTTGTAGTGGAGATAGTGTTTTATGAATTAATTCAACAATTGTCCTAGTAAATTATGTTAAAGTTGAATTTAATTATATAATTTTGTGAAAAATTAATTAATTACAGGACTACCTAGCCTAGCTTCCATACAATGAATAATTAATCATTTACCTAATAATTTATGTAAGATTAGATATAGAATATTAATTTATAAATTATTAATTAACAAGGTGTTAGCCTAATCAGCTAAGCATTCATATATTAAATAGTAATCACTTACCTAGTAAATTATGTTAAGATTGAATTTAGTTATATTAATTTTATGAAAAATTAATAATTACAAGCTAACTAGCTTAAGTCTCTATACAATTGAATATAATCAATTTACCTAATAAATTATGTTAGATTACATATAGAATATATTTATTATTAAGGGAAAAATCCCCGCCGACGAATTTCCCCGCGAAGCCTCGTTGATTGGGCCGGGCCGAATGGAGAGGGGAGTGATTTCATCCCCTTGGGCGGAACGATCATGAGAGTTGTCCCCGCCAGTCGAGGATGGTCATGGGAGTAGATATCAGGACGGGAATGGGTCCTCGGCTCCGACCTAGCCTCACCCAGGCCCGACTTAGGGGTAGGCAGGTGAGGCACCTGCCGGGGCCCCCCAAACATAGGGGCCAAAATTTTTATAACTGTTTTTTAATATTTTAAACAAAATGGTGTATGATTTTTTATCCAATCCAGAGCAAAAAAAAAAAAAAAAAGTTAAAAAGACCCAAATTTATTATAATTTTTTTACATATATTCCCACCCAAAGTTTGATAAAATAGCAAGTTTATACCTCTAGTTTTTTATATTCTAATTTACACCCCTAAATTAACACATTGAATTTCTTTTAACAATAAAATGTTAAAATGGTCATTTACATGTCTCAAATTACTCTACCCAATTCCATCCCAAAATTTGACATTCACATAAATCATCTCCACCCCTCTTCAGCCGCCAACCGTTTGGAGCTGATTCCGATCAATTTTCTCACCTAAATTGACCGGAATCATCACTTTATCTTTTCCCAAGTGTTTTTCCAACCTTGATAGCCCTCGATTTGGCCCTTTTTTTACGAATCTCATAACCCAACTCCACCGCACACGACAGCCATTTCGGCCTTTTCAGCATGTACCCAGTGTTGTTGGCCTTCCCCGACATCACCATCTTCCTCCCCCCATCCTTCTCACCAAAATCCCTATCATACCTCATCTGTTTACTCCGTCAATCACCAGCCACCGATACCTTTTGGGTTGCGATTTCTCAAGCCTTTTCTGGCCAATCCAGGCATTGGAAATTACTTATTTCACCACCCATCGCTTCTCCAACATTTGCTCTCCAAAACCCCCCACAAACCTGAACCCGTTAGCCTGCCGATGCCGATCGTCATTCACTTCTCCTAGTGATTTTGCATCTCAAAACGCAAGAAAATAAATTTGAAATAATTTTTTTTTTAATATATGCTTATATTATTAGAAGGCCTCCAAAGTAACTCTTGCCTAGGATCACAAATGTTCTTGAGACGATCCTGTCCGCACCCATCTCTAGACTGCTAAGTACACCCTTATAGCCTTGGATGATATGTACTGATCACATTCCCTTTGCCATGGCGCATGTTAATTCCTTGCTCCCTATATTCACACTTTTGATATTTTAATAATTAACAACTAATAATGGTTTTATATTGTTGGATTACTATCATAATTCATGAACTACCCCTGCTGTAACTTTCATATCATCGATAAGTTTTGCGACTTCACGTAATTTCCTCACATGATATCCTTAGACGTTAACTCCGTTAATTGCTGTTAATACCATGAGACATAATTAAATTTTTCACTAACTACAGACACGTGATCTTACTCTTATGACATAGCTACAGACACGTGGTCTGACTCCACACTGCAAAACAAAACTGGCACTTTCAACGTAAAGCCACTTCAAGCAATGTAGTCAAAATGCCCACTTCTGTAATTTTGTAATTGTTTAATATATTTTTTTTAATTTTCTCAGTCGCCATATAACTGGGAAATTTCAATCAAGGGCAATTTACTAATTGTACAAAAAGTAAACATTTATTTTAACGGTAACTAATGGAACTAGGTTTATATATATACACACACAACTGCTACTGATAGGAAGTGACAAAATTACATATCTTGAATTATAGAAATTAATTGCATGCCGCACAAGGCACAACAGAACGAAGTAAATTACTCCACGTCAAAAGTAGAAAATAAATTATCATACACAAGAACATTTTGGGGCAACTTGATGCGATGAGACCTAGCTAGTAATCTTTAAGGACACCATTAAATGAACTTTTGTTGTTCTGTGTTGAAAAGATTCCAAAGGTTAACGTCAAGCCATAAATCAGTGGGCAAAGTCTGGCCTACTTCATAAAAAATATTGTTCTCTTCCCCCTTTGTTGTCCCCGGTGAAGAATTTTCCTCCAAAAGGTTTGCCATAGGCATAACCTCCTCTTCTTGCCGACCCGAAGAGCTGGAAGCACCTTGATCAAATTCCTTTCCACTTAACACGTTTTCCCACCACACACTTTCACTATCCTGTGGATCCAATGTTGTAGATGGCTGGCAGAGAGAATTGTCTTCTGATTGAACAGTGTTCTCAACAATACTTTTGTCCTTCAACCATCTTATGTTTTTGGAGAAGGCCTGAGGACGAGGTCTAATAATGTTCACAGTTCCAGTCTTTCGGCCCTTTTCTTTGATATATTCGTTGCAAGAAACAGTCTTTTTTCGCAGGTGCGTGTTCCAGTAGTTCTTCACATCATTCGCTGTTCTTCCTGGAAGCCTACCTGCAATCAGTGACCATCTGCACCAAACGATAAAACATTTGTGATAAGAGATCCTTTTACGTATATGTTTAACTTTATGGAATAATATTATTAGTTGTTTTGAGAGTTTTAAAATAATGTTTTCTGGATTATTATTTTAATCCAAACTATTAATTATATATAAATAACACTATATATATCAAGTTCGTACACAAAGTGACATAACACAAAATGTATGAGTGAGTGAAAATAAAAGATCAATTCGTTAATAAAGAATGAACGAAATGTAAATTAATGAATAATACCACATCACTTTATATACTTGATTTTATATATAAACTTTGTATGTGTAATAATATTTAACATATATGAGGGTCGTGTGTGTATATATATATATATATAAGGAAGTATATCAGTTGGCTTTTTGGAACCATTAATGAGAAAGGAAAGTCTGTTAAAGTGACTTAAATAAGCTGTGAATGTGTACCATACCAACCCAAGTAATAGCTAGAAGCTGCCACGTCGCTCTATGATAGAAGTAATATGACTATCATCAACTTGACAGATTCAGGTTTTGTCTATGAGTGATTGAGGGCCGCACACCTGTCCAAGTCTTAGGTAATTTGAAGATATTTCCTAAGTTACCAGTCAATGGAAGGCAAGGAATGATTTGCACGGCACCCACCCACTTGCAGATTTGTAATCATCACCTTGAATTCCTCTAATATAAATAGACGACTCCCCCTCTCATTTTCGGGACTCTGATCCTAAACTCTTATTCTAATTGTAATTTTTATTTTTAGAGCAAAGATAACCCACGAGAAAGAGACTGACTTGATATTCTCTCTGAATATTCAGTTGTTGTACCTTTGCTCATTATTCGCTATACGTGACCTCTTGTAATCTCTCATATATAAAAAAAAAAAAAAGTGGACATAGGATTCGCTTTAAGCATCCGAACCACTTTAAAAATCTTATCTCTCATTTATTATTCAGTCTTCGTATTTGATCATAATAATTCATGTGTAATTTTTAAGAACAACTTAGCACTTTGTATGTATGAATCGTTGATGTCAAAATCAGACATCAATAAGATGTAAACAATATTCGAAAGTCGAATTTGATGGCAAAGGCAGAAAAGGGAAATACAATTAAATTTAAGTCAAGACTAGGATATTAAAAACCCAGAAAATTATGATGTTTTCTCATGATTACAGCACACAAGTTACGAATAATAACAAAGTAGGGAATTCTTAGTTATTAATGATCACTTGCCTGTTGCCTAGCAGCTTATGGAGCCTCAAAATTAGTTCAACTTCATCTGCTTCAAATTCTCCTCTCTTGATATTTGGTTTGAGATAGTTCAGCCACCTCAACCTACAGCTTTTCCGGCATCTATTTAAACCTGAAATTAAGTTTAAGAAAAATCAGATTATGTAATCAAAATATATTATGTTGCATTTTCGAGAGGCCATATTGTAAAATGCTAAAATACCTGCTCTTAGAGGAATTTGATGCCATTTTTCTTCACCATATTTCTCAATGCACTTCCTCAGAAGATTATCTTCCTCTTCTGTCCATGCACCTTTTCGAACCCCCAAGGGTATTTCCATACTTACTGGGCAAATTAAATGTTATGCCAAACTGTTATACGCACGTGAACTTAAGAGAACTTCTTGTTAAATTTCAAAGCCTCCCAACGGCTTATAAATAGGCGCTTTTCCAGTTCTTGCTACGTCGAGGCTTCTAAAGCTATTGACGTTGCGTATCTTTTGTCCACAAGCATATCATATATTTTTTATATTCATCGTTCAGAAAATAATAGCTGTCTTTTCTCAACTATAAGTCAACGACTAATCCAACAATTTCGAACCGTTGAATAACATGGTTCTATGTACATTGTACATAGCGAAAGTTTTTTCTTACTACGATCTTGAATTTGAGCAGGATTTCAGATATATCAAGGACAAAATGATCATGGCAACCATTTACTATGTGGAATTAGGGAAGAATAATTCGAGTGAATTAGGTGTCCTGATGGTAAAAGCTGATGGTAAAAGAACAGTAAAGCTTTGAGCTAAAATTAGAAGAGAGGAAGAGAGAAAGACAGAGAACGAGAAAAATCTAGAAACAAAATTTCAGGTTTTTTTATTATTTTAACTAACTGACAAAATGTACAAGTGCTTCTCATTTATACAAAATGGAGCTGAAGTCAAGTTGGGAGTAACTAACTAAGCTGTGAATAATTGATTGTATAGTCAAACGTTGGTCAACTATCAGTCTTACTAACATCGTCCCTTAAAGTGGACATCCATAAGACACTTTGACTACCTTGCTAACTGTTGACCAAAGCTAAAATGAGTGAAAGAGGGTAAAGTTATAAATTCCACTTCCACTTGTCCCTGTAACGGTGTCGTTTTGACTCTCTCTCATTTCATATAAAAGAGAGCAGTCTTCCTTTTGTATCAATTAGCAAAAGCAGAAATAAAATACTATTACTCAGATTTTCTCTACTTCTTTTTTCTTTTCTCTTTGAATCTCTCATGGTATCAGAGCTGAAGACACACGTCTACAGCTAAGAATCTTGGCTCTTTGTTTCAAAAAAGTGTTATGGAGAAACTGGTGAATCTCAGCTCAGCTCAGTTTTCAATTTTTTCGTCCACTTTGCAAGTAATCACACCGAAATTGACCAGAGACAACTACAAGGACAACTATAGGTTCTGGCGATCTCAAGTTCTCTCAGCCGTTGGAGCTCATGAACTAGAAGACCATCTAACAGGTTCAATTCCATGTCCTGATCTTATAATTGTCTCTGATAATGATAGCTCAAGTCAATCAAGTGAAACCCTAACTAAGGAAAAAATCAATCCAGCTTATGTAGCATGGAAGAAGACTGATAAATTTCTTGTTACTTGGCTTCTTGCGTCAATCTCTGAGTGTATGTTTAGTAATATCTCTAAATGTCAATTTGCCACTGAAATTTGGTATAATCTTGAACATGAGTTTGTTACTGGCTCCAAAGCAAGAGCACTTCACCTAAGGAATTCACTTCAAACTACTCAGAAATGAAGTATGAGTGTCAGTAAGTTTGTCAAGAAAATGAAGAGTTTTGCTGAGAATCTGTCGGGAAGTGGTCAGGTGATAAGTGATGAAGATCTGCTTCAATATGTGTTAGATGGCCTTGGGCCAGAGTTTAATGCTGCCGTAGTCAATCTAACATCTAGAATTGAGTCTAAAATTGACTCAGTGTCTCTGCAAGAAGCTCAATTTCTACTCCAAAAATATGAGATGAGACTAGAGTAAGTTTAATAGCATTGATTTTCCAAACAGTTCAGTGCATATGGCATCTCTTAGTAATCCTAATGCTTCACCGTTGCTGTCTATTGGTACAAAGGGATCTATAAATCCTAATGATGTTGCTAGAGGTCTCCACACAATGCACAATGTACCTGCTCTGACGAATACTCTGCCTCTAGCACCAGTTCATTCTTCATCAAATTATTCATCAGCTTACTTAGCTTATCCATCAACACCACCTGCTTATTCAGATCCAACTTATCCAGCCTATTCCTTCCCTGTTTCACACACTCATTCACTTTTTCCCTCTGCACATCAGGGTCATTTTGGAGGACCTATTGGTCCTGCCTTTCCAGTTTATAGAGCATCTGGTTATAACTCCTTTGGCAGAGGTCGAGGCAGAGGTGCTAGCAAAGGCAAACCAATGTGTCAAGTATGCAGCAAAGTTGGCCACATAGCGGCACAATGCTATCATAGGTACAACTCAACCTATAATGGGGTTCCACCTACTCAATTCAGTTTGGTGGCACTCCTGCTCAAGCTCAATTTGGTGCCTCAGCAACTCAGTATGGAGGTCCTCATCCTCAATTTACACATTATGGGGATCCTGGTTCTCACTCAAGTTTTGGACTTACTGGAGGTGTTTCATTTGGGAACAATCTGTCTCATGGACAAGGACATCATGTTGTCTTTTTCTCCTCCACTCAACAGCAACCTTCATCATAATCTAGCTTTCCTGTCCCAAGCCAACAACTAAACTCACCCACTCCTAACCAAGCCTACTTTGTATCCCATCAAAATCCATCACTAGCTCTCAACTCTCTCGTCCTTATGCCTATTTCAACAAACACACCACCTGATCCAGCCTAGTACATGGATTCAGGAGCTACCGATCATGTTACTAATGATCCCCATCACTTGGTAGCCAACAGAAACTATGATGGTACTGATCAATTACAAGTCGGCAGTGGTGAGTCTCTTAACATCTCCCATGTTGGTTTTTCTTTATTACCTAATGCTTTACACTCTAAATGCTTGTATTTAAAAAATGTTCTATGTGTACCTAGAATAACTAAAAACCTTTTTAGTATCTCAAAATTTACAAAAGACAATAATGTGGTAGTAGAATTTAACTCTGATTACTGTCTTGTTAAGGACAAGGATACCAGAACAGTGCTTCTATAGGGAGGTCTTAAAGCTGTCTTGTATTAGTTGCACATTCCTTCTAATTTGCCATCTTCTCCTGTTCATGTTCATAATTCACCTAAGTACATTGAGCAACTAGCTCCTAACAGTCTGCATCCTCAAGTCTTTAATTCTGTACTAGATAACATGAATCTTACCTCTAGTGTCATTCCTGAATGCAAATTGCCAAATACTGATGATAATTGTAACTTGGGAACCTTTGATTTCAACCCACAAGCATGTTCCTTTGATAATGTCTCTAGTTGTAATTCCAATTCAATAAATAAAACTGTTCCTGATCACAATGTTATCAATAATAATTCTGATTGCAATCATGATGATTGTCTTGTGCTACATTCTGAATTGTCCAAAGTTCATGCTAATCATTATGACTATGATTCTAATGCTTGCACTGTGCTATCTTCTGAATTGTTATCTGCTCACAATAATTATAAAACTGACCACACTAATGATTCTACTGTGTTATCCTCTAAATCGTTACATGATCACATCAATAATAATTATGGTCAGATCATGTGGCCTAATGTGTCATTTGCTTTACACACTAGTAGCACTACTACTGATATATCCCTTTGGCATAATAGATTAGGTCATCCTCATACTGAGACTCTTCATAAAATCTTGTCTCACATTCATGTCAATTTTACAAAATCTGCCTCTTCCTTGCCTTTTTGTGATGCATGAAAGTTAGGCAAGTTACATAGGAGTAGTTTTCCTCTCTCACAATCTAGAGCCACTCAACCCCTTGAACTTGTTCATAGTGATGTTTGGGGACTAGCTCCAACTGCATCTATTGAAGGTTTTAGGTATTACATCCATTTCATTGATGATCATAGTCACTTTACTTGGATATTTCCTTTACGAACAAAAGCTGAAGTTAACTCCACATTCATTAGGTTTCACCATTTAGTTGAAAGACAANCGTCTAGAATGCCTATCTCAGAGCAGCCATCCAAGAAGAGTGGCGTATATGAGGTGTCACGGTTAGATGACATTAGTTCTAAGTTAGAGGTGTTGGCCCACCGATTTGACCAGTTTGTATCTATACAAGGGCAACCCTCTACACAATCATCTCAGAAGGCGAATCAAGATGTTTTTGCCATGCACTCCACTCTTGACCATTTGGTTGAGGAACCTGCCCCTGACCCTTTTGAGGAGCAAGTGCAAGTTGCACAAGGCTTCCAGAGACGGAGCAATCCGTACTCGAACACATACAATCCTGGGTGGCGTAACCACCCTAATTTTTCATGGAAGCCACAACCACCTCAGAATGTCCCTAATAACATGCCATATAGGAACAATCTTTCCAATCAGCAAGGCAATTATAGGGAGCAACCTTCAATCTAACCACCCATCCAACCTAGGTTCTCACCTCCGGTTTCATCAGCCTACCCAGTGTCTAGTTCACTAGAATCAATGAGGGCTCAAGTGCTTCAAACCATGCAGGAACAAAAAGCCACATGAATGCTAGGTTTTCCAGATTTAGAGCAGAATACCCAACTTCTACATTCCCATTCCCATCCATTAGTAAGCTAGAGACCCAGATTGGTCAAATAGCCGAGTAGTCAATAGGAGGGAACAAGGCCAATTGCCTAGTCAAGTCATAGGTAACCCTAGTGGTTCTCTCAGCAGAGAGGGTTTTCCAAACGCTAAGGTCGTGATGACTCTTTGGAGCGGCCGAGAGCTAATTAGGCTTGAGAGGGAAGTAAAAGTCCAGGGTAAAGAAGAGGAAAGTCTAGGTAGAGACCAAGCCAAAGAGATTGAGAGTGAGCCTCTTGTTGAGTTAAGTGTTCAGAGACCGGTAAGGAAAAGTTGGGGAGAATGAACCATCCCCTGCATCGTACATACCGAGAGCACCCTTTCCTCAGTGCTTGAGCCCCAAATTGCCCCACTACTAGGAAAAACTCTAGAATGGATGAAATGATTGAGTTGTTTTAAGCAGGTGCAGATTAACATTCCACTCTTAGATGCCATTAGCAAGTACCTGCTTATCCAAATTCCTCAAAGACTTGTGCACGCAAAAGAGGAAAATGAAATCTCACACACCTAAGACTGTACATTTACCGAAAAATGTAAGTCGGTTGTCTCAAACCGCATTCCCCGAAGTTAA